ATTTGTGAACTTATGGGATTGTGTCACCTACCTTCCTACCTATTTATCTAATTCTTGTCATTATATATGTATTCTATTGTCCATATCTGTATCATAATATTTGTGCTTTCTTCTCCTTCCTTCCTTCCGTGGTCTCTTGCAATATTATAAAAACATGATGTTGATTATATAACTTACACCAGCACAATAAAGGTCACATTGTTACATGTGTGTTGTATAGTAAATTTCTTTGTAAAACAAATAAGATTGTTGCATATAATATTGTCTTGAATCTGTGATTTGCCTTCATAGCTTTTGGTTCAATAATAATCTTTTTTACAAATAGAAAATTGTTGCTAAAATTCTGATTTGTGTAAAAACAGCAGTACTATAGTAGATAAAAAGGAAGTGAAGCAACTATTCATGGAGGCATTTTTTTGTGGATTATTTAATTTATGCATGCATACTGCTTTGATTAGATGAACTACCAGCTTTTCCTTAAAATAAAACTCAAAGGCAATTTGCACTTAATCATACTGAGAAAATTAGGTGAATTGCTCAAGATGGCAGAATATAGGGCTTAATTTATCATTTGTTATATTTTCATATTTATATAAAGTTACATGAAGTGTTGCCTAAGTGTTAAATACTTTGTCAACAGTTTAAATATGAAATCTTACAAGTATTAAAGTCAGTGCTTCATCCAAAGTTTAAATATATGTTTTAACATTTAAAAATATATTTTATTTAAAATAATTTATATTTATATTACCTTAGTACATACATGTACTATTTGGGTAAAGTAGAAATACTGATTTGTTAAACGTCTTTTTAATTCTCCCTTCCTTTCCTGCCAGTTAGCTATCAAGAAAATAGAATATTAAACTACCTTTTAGCTTTGTAACTTTATTATTAAAATATAACATTGTAAGTTATCTGTAATTTCACAATTTTATTTTTTCTTTATTTGGGATTGAGTTAAAAGGAAGGTATGGGAAAAATAAATATTTTTATGTTATGTAGTCAGTGAAGGGTCATTCATTCATTCGGTGAAACACTTCACTTCGTTGGAGCAGTGAGATAATACTTAGCAGTTTGGCCTTGTTAATATTTATTAAACTGGGTAGCTTTGTTTCTTGTCATGTCATGAATGAAATGCTAATTGAAAGAACCTGAGAGCTATTTAATATTTCATTTAGATTGCTTCTTTATTCTTGAGATTAAATTACTGGACAGATTGTTTCTTGAATTTGAACTGTTCATTCTTTCTTTCTTAATAAAATCCTATTTTATAAAAGGATTTATTTGAAGGATTTTGGTGGGTCTCTGTGGCTTAAACTTCCTAAAAGTCACGGGTTGTACTTTGAAAAGAGAAAATATAAGCCAAGAGGAAAAAAGTAAGGAGCAGCATCTTAGCATAAGCATATGATGGTCCAAATAGGTGGTGTATAAGTGTGCTCCAGCTAAGGAGATTCCATTTTCATTTCATCCACATGGAATCACTCAGATGAAAACACACACATGTGGAGATTTCAGTCCTCCTAGCCAAGTCCTGGCACAGCTGAGGAGTGCCCCCTTCTCATAAATCGATAACCAGCACAGTAAGTCCTTCCATTTTCAGACTCAGAATTCTGAGCATGTGCTTGTCCACCTGGCACATACCTGTTGTGATGCTCTTTGCACATCCTCTGGGGTTGCTTTTCTCTCTTGGCTGTCCATTCTCACCCAAGTCCAAACCTGACACAGACCCTGACCTCCCTAACTCAAGCTGACATGGACACTTCTGGGGGAGCGAGGATGAGGAAGAGCCTGGAGAAGAAATGTGTGCATTGGAGGTGGCATATGTACCCCTCCTGAGGGTTTGTATGAAAAGGCCAGAATGTAGATGCATGTATGTATGTGCAACCAAAGCTGCTGCTCTCTTTGGCTCAGTGAACTTCTTCTGTGAAGCTCTTCAGGTGGTACACTGTTTTTATTTGAGAAAGGAGAGTCTTTTTCTAATTTACATAAAGGCACTTCAAAAGTTAGTGGTGGCCCTGTTAAAGACCCTCTAGACAGTGGGCCTACACAATGTTTCAGAGTGTCACCTGTAGACCTTTATAGCCCATCCAATCATTTTGGAAGGCTGACATTTTCTTAGGAGAAACAGAACAATGAGATAAATTTCAATATTTTGAAATTTAGATTAAGACTGATTTTTTAAAACCAAATCCCAGTACCTTTCTTCAGTTATTAAATATTATGAATGTGCTACAAGGACTGGGCTGTGTCAGTTCATCTTGGCTAACACTTAAATTCAGCTCTTATTATTTGTGCATGTTAGTTTTGTAGTTTTATTGTTGCATAATATCCCCAATTTACAAAGTGGCTAATTTTTAAGTATTTAAAGTGAGAAGAGTGATATAGAATTGCTGCAACTTAAAATAACATTATAAATATAAGTGATTAATAGTTCTCTGGTAGAAATATGAAATGTGAGATTGCATATTCTGTTACAAAGGAGTCTCCAACATATGATTTGCAGAAGCTCTCAAGAAACAAAAATGTAAAAAAAAAAAAAGTTAGATGATCTGTACCGAAATTGGAGTTTGATAGACTAGTAATCTCTTTGTCCTGTGTTTTGCCTGTCACAAAATTTTACATAATATAAAACCTTCAGGGCATTTCTGTTTTATTCGAAGTCCATTCATCGTTGTCAGTGGAATCTGACATGCTGTTCTTTGCGTTCAGTTTCTGATTTATCTGATAATGATAAAGGGACTTCCTCTGGCCATTTTTTTCTTGTGACTATTGGCAGAAATTTCTCAGTTCTGAATTCTCAACTGTTCAAAACTAATAAAGAAACTCCAAACATAGTGTCTCTAAACTTTTTGTATCTTCTTGAAAGGTATTTCATTAGGTTGTGCAATGCAGTGCAGTAATGTTGATTCATTTTATTCTTGCATCATTCTTTTGGGCAAGTCCCTCATTTTCTCATTTTAAAAATTAATTTAGTCTTTTTAAGGCATAGATAGGAATAATAATGAAATAATTACTAGGATAATGAAATAGCACAGTATTTCAATATACTGGAAAACAGATGATTAAGGTCTCATACTGTACATTTTCTAAAGGGTGCAGTAGAGCCATATCATAATGTGCTTTATTCTATTAAAAATAAGTAAAATTTGATCTTTGAATTTATTAAAGAAAATATATCATTAGATAATGCTTCTTACAAATAGAACTACTGAAAAGGGAAATTCAAAACCTAAAATTGGTTTACAGTGGATCCTGCTGGTATACTAAGAGATGACAATTTAATAATTTTTTACTCTTTTTGAAGATGCTTATTAAGGTTTTGTTATTTTTATGTTTTTTATGTTCTCTGTGAATTATTTCCCCCACCTCACAGAATCTAGTTTCTCTTTTTCCTCCTTCCCTCCTTAACTCTCCCCTTGTCTCTCCTCTGCCCTGTCTCCTGTTTCCTTCCCCCTTCCCTTCCACTCTGACTCCTCGTATTCCACCTTGCATTCCCCTCCCTGTCCTAGTGTCCCTCCTTCCTTCTCTTCCTTCTTTCCATTTTTGCTCCCTATCTGGTAATTGTTCGCTGTTTTTACATTGAAAAATGTAGGTATGATTTATTTTAGGTAGTTGGCATTAGTTTCATTTGCTCTGTATATTAGTACTTAGTTTTTCAATTTGATCTCCTTGAATGGAATCTGATAGAGAAAAATAGTACTTGCAAAGGACATGTTGATTGAAAGTGTCAGTCTAGGGTGGGTGGGAAGAAAAGAGCTCATCAGGCTGTTAATATGATAATGTGGAGATACTTATTTTGGGTGCTAACAGCCCCATTAGAAGCCTTACTTCCTCTTAGTTAATCAGTGTAACGTGCTTGGAAAACAGTCTACTCTGGGAAATAGTGGGGTTAAATACCAAAGTGCTATGTCTGCCTACCTGAAGTCATTTTATGGGTAGTGCGGGTCAGGATGGGTAGTTATTGAAACAGTTGTTCTATGCGCAAACTTTTAATTATCGTTGATTTTGGCTCTACTTTTCATTCCCGTCCTTGATCCCAATGGCTCCCATCTTTGTTCTAGCCACTTTATTATATCTTCCAGATTGCAGTCTCCTCTGTTCATTTTATCCCTTAACTGTTAACTTTCCCAGCTTTCTGAAATATGTTGATATATTCTCCTCTTCTTCACTCGCCTCTCCTCTCTCTCCTCTCCTCCTCCTTCACTCATCTGAGTTTACTCTTTCACATCTACTGCAATTCCTAAGGTACTGGTACAGATAGATAGGAAGTCAATACATTTTCTCAGCATGCAGTTTTCTGAAACATACTACAAGGCAGCATCTGCTGCAGTTTTTATTAACACCAGTATTTGAAGTTACTATTTTCATGGCAAGCCAACTACCATTAATTTTTTGGGGGAGGAGGGCAGTTTTAATTATATGACTTACCTCTGCTTCTAATAATGTATAATCTTTTATAGGTAACTAGCAAGTCATTTTCCTTTTGAGTTTGTTATTATATAATTTTCTATAAATTGTTTATTTGAATTACACATTTACTGTGAAACCTAGGGTTTATAACCAATTTTCATAGGATCTTTATGTAGCATATTGACTCTTCATTACATCTGTAGCAAGTATCTTCTGGTTTTTATTTTTACTTTGAGTTTAATAATGTTTATTCTATAAATTACATTTTATTTGAATATGTGCTACATGATTTCTTAGTTTTGAAGTATCAGAAAAGTTATTATTATTACACCACACAATTAATTAAAAAGGATTAAGTAGGATTTTTATTTTTGTTTTACCAAACTTTCTGTAATTTTTGTGGAACACTTTTACAGAATAATTTTGCAGTGCATTTGAAAGCCAAGAAAATGTCTCTATGTTTTGATTCTCATCTTAGAAGACTTAATTAAAGAGAGGAATAAAGTTTGGTGTTTTGAACTTAATAATTCTTATTCTGTCAAATGGTTTGAAATTCTAAAAGTCAGTTAAAATATTTTTGTGTTTTCTAGATTATTGCTCCGTTGTAACAATCGTGGACCAGACAAATGTAAAGTTAACCTGCCTGTTCTTTAGTGGAAATTATGAAGCCCTTCCAATAATTTATAAAAATGGAGATATTGTTCGCTTTCACAGGCTGAAGGTATAATTCTTGCTGTCTAGAACTTACATTTGTTTAAAGAGAACTCTGTATTGTTCACTAAAACTAGTTAGTACTAATTACATGGTTGCTTTAATGTGACATTAAGCATTTCAGGAGTTGAAGAAAAGAAAATAGTACGAGGCTCCAAATAATGTGTGTTAGGAAACCTCTTCATTTGAACAGACTGCCCTCCTTCCACAAAAATGTATTATATGCATAATTCAAATAAGTTGCATTCTGTCTTCTTACTTCTCAATATAGGTTGATGCTTTAAAAGTTTTCCATGCAGTTTGATAAAGAACATTTGTTTTTAAAAAAAAAGCGTTAAGTCAACAACAAAAAGTATATGAAGACTGGGAGATTACATTATTCTTTCTTGTTTATTGTATTAATACAATGAAAGTATTGAGATATTAAATATGAAATCAAAGTAAATTAACCTTCATTCATGAGAAATGTGTTAATATGTGAATAGATTCTTATGTGTTTTTAGAATTATGCTAGCAGTTAAATATTTAAATATACGAAAACCTTTAATAGGAAGTAGAGCTATTAAGTAGTATGTGATTTTTAACAAACCAGCTTTTTGATATTTTAATATTTTCAATCCCATAGCTTTTAGGCATTTCAATCCCTTCATCTTTTCCTCTTATGATATGGGTTTCCATGCAATCCCTTCATTATCTCTGTAGTCTTTTTCTTCTGATGCTTCTAATGCTTTATTTGTGTCATTCATTATGAGTGCAATGTTCATAAATGAGCACAATAGTCCAGGTGTGTTCTATTCTTAGATAAGGTGGGAATTACCCTTCTTGATCTCTTAATGCCTTTTCCCTGAGGATAGAAGAATACTAGAGAATATTTGTGTGAAGATAAAAAGAGGTAGGAACATTATCATTGTAGCACTGTAGTACAGACTTATCTAAACTTCAAAAAATAGCTTCCTATTCACACACTGAGTGTTTGTTGTTTCCTAGAGTATTTGTATTAAAACACTGCATCCTTCTCTCTTAATGTTTTTAGTTGTTATTTTTGGTGTTGTTCTACCGAAGTAGAATATGCATCTCTGTGGTTCGGTTTAAGCATACTCATGTAACTAGCACTCCAGGAACTTCCTTCATACCCCAACCCAGGGTAATCACTACACTTCACCCACCTCCAGGAGTAAATAATATCATAATTTCTAAAATATATTAGTTTCACCCTGTATTTGTTTTTTATATAAAGGGAAAAGACTATAGTTTTGTTTTTTTGTTTTTTGTTTTTAATGTCTGGCTTATGCTTGTGTGATTCAACCATATTATTGCATATAATTTTACTTTGTTCATTTTCATTGCTAAATGGTATTCCATTGTGTGAATACATCAGAATTTATATATTTATTCTGTTGAACATTTAGGTAGTTTTCAGTTTGAGGATACTATGGTTCTGTAAACTAGCTAGTTTGTATCTTTTAGTGAATCTGTGTGTTCATACATATAATTTATACAAGTATATAATTATACATAATATAATTATATGCACTTATAATTTATATATGTAATTATATATATAATTATAAGATATAAATATTGGTAATATTGATATTTACATGTTATATACTATATAATGCATATATTATATATGCATTTGAGTTTGTGTGTGTGTGTGTGTGTGTGTATATACACACATATATATGTGTGTACTAGACTAGCCCTGTTGCTATAGAATCCATTAAATCCATTAAAATGGACAAAGTACATGAACCAGCAGTTTTCAGGCATTGGTCACCAGATTCCTGTAATCAGAGAAAGAAGAGAAAACTGAAAAGGTGAGGCATAGGGATGCCACAACTCTGCTTGGGGGCAGTTTTCCAACCAACCGGCTTAGCATTGGTCCTGCTAAGCTGAGGTGGCTAAAATCAGTGTTCAAAGCAGTTGAAGTAACTGGAATCTTCAAGACAATGTGCCAGAGAGGAAAGAGTTATACCTAAGGGGATATCCAGAAGTCTGCTGGGGTGGGGTGTTGCCCATGAATACTTGGATGAAAGCTGGGCTGTACATGGGCAGGGCAAGACTACCTAAGCATTACAAGAGCTGATGTGTAGTTGAGTCTAGTGATTAGACAGGAAACAGATAGTAGACGTGTAGCAGTGGGGATGCTAAAAGTTTAACCTAGTCAGAGATAAATAACCTCATTAATATCTCTAACATGTTGGCTATTCAACTGAGACAATACAAAGGACTACTCACCTCACAAAATACCTTGTCTCACAAAACACTGAATCCTAGAATAAAGCCTACTCTAGATGTGTTCTGTCAAAGTCTGAAACCAGTTCTACATGGAAGACAGTATGTAAGATAAGTCCCACCAAGACAGAAGGGCTTCGGGCAATATTATGAGCTTTCAACAGATTATTCTTAACAAAGCATAAAGCTAGGCCTTTATGATTCAGGGCAATCATCTGGCAGCTGAACTGCTGACAAGAGCAAGAACCAGTGTTGGTCAGAAGGAGGTAACATAATTCAGATCCTTTATAGTATCTCATCCTGTTGTAAAGAGGAAAAAAATACTAGACACTCCAAACCAACCCCATGGTGGCCCAGATGCTAGATTTTTAAATAAAGACTTTAAAACAGTTATATTTTCACAGAGTTAAGCCACATATGTTCAGCAAATTAAAGGAACATGTGGTTAAATGAATTCAAGATACGACATGTCAGCAGAGAAGAAGAAATTGAACAAGAACCAAATAGAATTTGAGAAACTGAAGGGAATAGCAAAAGAAATAAAAAATCTACTGGATGGTCTAAACAGCAGGTTTGATTTATCACATATACTTGAAGGTATTTCAGTAGAAGTCACCAAATCCCAAAATAGGGAATAAAGAATGGCAGACTATCAGGGACCAATACTATCAAATGGGAAACACGCCATTTGATGTGCAGAAGGGAATGTGAATGGGGAAAAATTACAGAAATAAGGGCCATAATATTTCCTAATTTGATGGAAAATACTGACAGATTCAAGAAACTCAGTGTGCTCTATGCATGGTACCACAAAGAAAAGCGCAGCTAAGCAAATCATGATGAAACCATTGAAAAAGATTTAAAAAATCTTGAATCAGCTGGCAGAGGAATGATACATTCCATATAGGGAACAATTATACCAGTCATCTTTGATTTTTTACTATTAATAATGGCACCCAAAGACCAAAGCACTGATAAATTTTAAGTAGTGATAAAAAATTTGTTCACCTGGAATTTTGTATCCAGAGGGTAAAATACCAACATTTTTATATAAATTTTATATAATGAACATGAGAGAATCCATGTCCAGTATATGTTCACTATAATAAAATGGTAAAGGATGGTATTCAGAGCAAAGAGTACTACCAACCAGAAACTTGGTCATTAGACAATGACCAAAAAAAAAAGATCCCCACAAGAAAAGGTAAATAAATGAGTAAATAAATATGAAAGACGGTGTTTTGTATTTATTCCCATAATTTCTGTAAAAGATAAATGGCTATTTGAAAGAAAAATAATATTGTGAGGTGGTTTTTTATGTGTGTGTTGGGGGGTATTTCATAAGGAACAAAAGGTTGCTTTGTGAAGAAGACATAACAAATACGTGTGCGTCTAATCACTGAGCCTCAGATTCAGAAAGGACAAGTCTTTATGGCCTATCTTGGTTCTCTCTGTCAGGCTGATGAAACATTAGCCTCAGCTACATTTTATTCACTTCAAAGTCTTATATTTTAAGTGTTCTTGTTCTCCCTATAACATTCATATGTAACTGTGACTTAATTATCCTTTTTCCTTTCATAAATTATACCTTAATAAAAATAAACCTAATAAATGTGAAAGTGCAGGCTTGATAAGATTAGACAGTCTACCACTTATCTCTTTATAAAATAGAAATAGATCTGCATAGTGTTTTGTTGTTTACTTGGTGCTTATGGATCTTGATATAGCCCAATTGGTTTTATAATTTTATATGCTAATTAAATGAGTATATTAAAGAATTACATCCTCTATTAACTATGCTAGCAAAATTTTATAATCTTTTGTTTCTTCAGTTCCTGGGTTCTGCATTAGTAAGCTGTTTTGTTTGTTTTGCGTTCTACTTTGTCCTGCTTTCTTAGATCCAAGTATATAAAAATGAGACTCAGGGTATCACCAGCTCTGGCTTTGCGTCTTTGACATTTGAGGGAACTTTGGGAGCTCTGATCATACCTCGTACTTCAAGCAAGTATTTTAACTTCACCACTGAGGACCACAAAATGGTAGAAGCCTTACGTGTTTGGGCATCTACTCATATTTCACCATCTTCAACATTAGTAAAATTGTGTGATGTTCAGCCAATGCAGTATTTTGACCTGACTTGTCAGCTCTTGGGCAAAGCAGAAGTGGATGGAACATCGTTTCTTCTAAAGGTAGATATTTTTAAATATTTGAGATTTTAAGTTAGCACTATATACCTGTCTATACCGAGCTTATATTTCATTACTCATGGAATCAATCTGCATACTGTATATTATATTAACTTAAAATCTAATTTATTGTTTTTGATGAGCCTGGATATTCATGCAACTCTACTATTGAACTTCTCTCTGTTATTCTATACTTCCAGAGAAAAATACTGTCAAATCTATATTTTAAGTATAGTTTATGCTATATTTATTTATACTTAGTGCTGATAAAATATGGAGTTGTTTTCGTATTTTTTAGTTACATTTCTACATATCCATATTTCTGTTTCCTTGTAGCCTGCCTTCTCACTCATTTTACTTTCTTGGACTATTAATACTGGTTTCTCAAGTGACTTTACCTCCTGCTTTTCTGATAATCTTGGAAGTATTTCTTATTGTTCTTATTATGTTTGGTTTTGTTTTTAAATCAGCAGGATTAAAAAATGTAACATATGACCCTTCTGTCTCATCTTTGTTTGCACCTAACCTTGTTTACTCATGCATAGCTTCTGTAGAAGACAATTAATTGTGTGATATTTTTCTCACCTACTCATCCTATACAAGCTGCACTTAAACAACACTGCTTCAGCCCTGCTCCTATGGTTCTTTCTTTCTTTCTTATTTTTTCATTGAAGTATAGTTGATACACAGTTAGTTTCAAGTATGTAACATAACTGGTTCAATGATTACCCATATTATTAAATCCTCCCATCCCCACAAGTACAGCTACTGTCTGTCAACATAGGAAGATGTTACAGAATCATTGACTATATTCTCTGACCATATTATCTTTACTACTATCCCCTTGACCAGCCTACATTATGATTGAGAAATTGTGTGCCCCTTTATTGCCTTCAACCTCCGCACCCACCCACTCTAGCCCCTCCCCCATGGTAACCACCAGTCATTTCTCAGTGTCTGTGAGTCTATTGCTGTATTGTTTATTCTGTTTTGCTTTGTATTTATATTCCTGTGGTTATTTCTTTAGCTTCTGACTCTTTGGAACAGTACGACAGGAAATGGAGTACAACAGCGCTTGGACAAGTATTCGGTTTAGCATTATTTTCACTTATACCTTATATGAAGGAATGGTGAAGACAGAAATCATTGAATAAAATAGGAAGTTTTTAAGGTTTTTGAGGTTGAAGATAGCACATGTTTATGTACACAAATACTATGAAAAAGTAAATTCATAGTATAAAGAAAATTAAGTCAGAATGACAGCCAAAGCTAAAGCAACATAAAATCATCCAAAGTTAAAAGGATCTTAGGTCATCTAGTCAGTTTCTGCCCAGTGACACCCATCACAAATGAGCATTTATTTGCTAATTACTGAACGCTTCCATGACAAGGAATCTGTTGTGCAGAGAATTATTCTCTGTTTTGACTGCTATATTAGAAAATTCTTAAATTATGAGATAAAATCTACAACCTTTTAGCTAACATGGCTGATTCTACATTTCCTTTCTAAAGCAATAAAACACATACCTGCATCCTCTTTTTGTAGATAGCTTTCAGATAGTAAAAACAGCTTTCATGTAGATGTTATTTTAAAATACAAGATTCAGAGTTGGATGTAAGAAATTACCCTAGTAAGACTTTCCTCAAGATAATTAAATCTCAAAAGTCTTTGTATGCTGTTTGACTTAATTCTACTTTTATAAATGTATTTCATAGGAATAATTCAAAATCTGGAAAAAATGCATTTAAATGAATGCTCATATCCTTATATTTCTTACAGTCCAAAAAATTAGAAACCAATTATAGCTATAGGTTATTAAGAATATAATGTTATTTTAAGAGTATATTAAAGACTATGGCCAGAGATATAGTCAAAAGTACTGAGAGACAAAATTAAGAGTCTTAAATCTCTTCATAAAAGAAAGAAAGAAAACATAGCATATTGAAATAAACTTTAAACTCAAGAAATTAAATGACAAAACAGGACTATAGAAGGTAGTAAGAAATATTTTAATAAGGTATATAATTTTTGGATAGGTAATTTTAGCTTCATCTAGATATTTAAAAGACATTTTTAAATGATTTCTAGTGAAAAGCTTCTCTGCTTGACTTCCTTTCTTATACCCATCTTAATCTCTCCCTCCAAAAACTGTAACTGAATCAAGTTTCTTGAATATATTTTCTCATGTATTTTAGTTTATATACAAATACATATTCTTTTTTCTCTTTTTGTATGTACATGGTAGCATACTATACACACTACTCTGTAGTTGCTTTTTTAACTTAATTCTATCATAAGAGATTTTTCTACATCACCTCTTAAAAAGTTTCTTGTCTTAGTTTCCTAGGACTGCCGTAAAACATTACCACAAACTGGATGGCTTGAAGAAATGTAAATGTATTATCTCCCAGTTCTGGAGCCAGAAGTACAAAATCAAGGTGTTGGCAGGCTCCCACTCCCTCCGAAGGCTCTTCAGGAGAATGCTTCCTGGCTTCTCCCTAGCTTCTGGTGGTTTCTAGCAACCCTTGACATTCTCTGGTTCACCAGCTGCACCACTCTAATCTCTGTCTCTGTTGTTAAATGGCCTTCTTACCTATATGTGTGTAAGTCCAAATTCTCCTTTTCCTAATCAATGGATTTCGGGCCCATCTTACTTCAGTATGACCACATCTTAACTGACTACGTCTGTGGAGCCACTATTTCCAAATAAGGATACATTCACAGGCTCCAAGTGGACATGGATTTTTTGGGGGAACACTACTTAACTGCTTTGGTTTTTTATCTGATGGGGGTATGGAATCATTTATTTTAATTTGTGTCCTATTGATGCATTTAGGAGGCTTACTTAAACATTTGTCATTTCACATGTGTCCTGATAGATCTGTGAAGATAAATTTTCTAGAAATAGAATTGCTGATTTAAGGAGTATGTACATTTGAAATTTTGGTAACTCTTGCTGAATTACCCCTCATAGAGGTTGTGCTCCTTTAAACAATTCCTAGCCATGTATGAAAGTACCTGTTTCCTAACAGTAAGATATGTAAGAATTGTTATGTATGATTTTTTTTAATAGAAAAAGATAAAATTTCCCAAAGTTCAAATATTTTTAAAAAAAGAGTTTGGTTATTATGATTTTTAAAAAGATAGAGAATCTTCTAAGTTAGAGATGATACAACAGATGTATTCACATATACAGGAGAGCTTAAGCATCATAAAATGGTATCTCCAACTTTTATGCTGGCAAATAATAAAATCTAGTTTAAATTGATTATTTTTCACTTTTAAAATTTAAATGTAACATAGATTTTTACATTGTTGAATTAACTACTGAAAATATTACATGCCCAGATAGTGAATTCCTTCAAACTGAATTAGACCAAAAGCAGACCAATATTATATAAAACAAAGGGCACACATCCCAGTTATATTTATAAATATAGAAACCAAAATTCTTGATCAAATATTATCAAACAAAATCCAACTATATATTTAAAAATAATATACTGTAATCTAGCACAATCTAGTTTTAAAAATCAAATTATTTAATTTCAGAAAAATTATAGTCATCTCTGTGAATGTTAAAAATTATATGATTTTTCCATGAATGTTAAAAATTATTTTTATGAAATTGTTCAACAAAAACAGAACTAGATGTGTGCTTTGTTTAACTTTGTAAACATTTTCTATCATAAGGTAAACAAAATATCTAAGGTTGAAATTCTGGAGTCAGTAACGCCAGGAACAAGACAAAACCTTCTCAGTTATTTTGTCAGTTATGTAATGTTCAGGACATCTTGTAAAATTCACTAAGAAAAAGAAATGAGACATATAACTCTCTTAAAAGGATAAAAAAGGGTCAGTTACAAAAGATACAAATTCTGATAACTAACTGAAAAGTTTTTTAGATCAGTAAAAATTATTCAGTGAGATAAGTAGTTCAAATCATGAGTAAAGTATAGCCTTCTTATATATCAGTAATAAATAGAACATACAGTAATAAATAGAATAAAAGATTTTTTGAAGTCACAACTGTTAAAGTTCCTACAAGAAATAGCTGAGATAACTACAAAACTTTACTTAGTAGCATAAAAGAAAACTTGAACTATTAAAATATTTTTTATTCTTTCCTGAAGTGTTTTTAAGTAGAATGTAATTGTTTCTTTAGTTGACAATAGTTCTGAAGTTTATTAGAAACATTGAATGATCAAGGATAAATAAGAAAGGCTTGACAGAGGAAACTAAGTGGGGCCTCCAGAGCAAATATCAAGACATAGTATGAAATTACAGTAATTAAAGCCACAGTAAGACTAATTAATGGAAAAGATTAGGAACCTCAGAAACAGTCTTATGCATACAATTCAACATATAAAAACATTAAATAATATTTTAAATTGGTGAAGAAAGACAAATGGTGATTGTTATCTATGTTGAAAAATATCAGGTTTGTATGTAATATACATACTGCTAACAGATTGAGTTTTGATACAAAATTATAAATTTTCAGAATTAAAAAAGTCTGACTTCAAGACAATTAAAATCAAAGCACAAAAGCTATATGAAAGTACCTGTTTCCTAACAGTAAGATATGTAAGAATTGTTATGTATGATTTTTTTTAATAGAAAAAGATAAAATTTCCCAAAGTTCAAATATTTTTAAAAAAAGAGTTTGGTTATTATGATTTTTAAAAAGATAGAGAATCTTCTAAGTTAGAGATGATACAACAGATGTATTCACATATACAGGAGAGCTTAAGCATCATAAAATGGTATCTCCAACTTTTATGCTGGCAAATAATAAAATCTAGTTTAAATTGATTATTTTTCACTTTTAAAATTTAAATGTAACATAGATTTTTACATTGTTGAATTAACTACTGAAAATATTACATGCCCAGATAGTGAATTCCTTCAAACTGAATTAGACCAAAAGCAGACCAATATTATATAAAACAAAGGGCACACATCCCAGTTATATTTATAAATATAGAAACCAAAATTCTTGATCAAATATTATCAAACAAAATCCAACTATATATTTAAAAATAATATACTGTAATCTAGCACAATCTAGTTTTAAAAATCAAATTATTTAATTTCAGAAAAATTATAGTCATCTCTGTGAATGTTAAAAATTATATGATTTTTCCATGAATGTTAAAAATTATTTTTATGAAATTGTTCAACAAAAACAGAACTAGATGTGTGCTTTGTTTAACTTTGTAAACATTTTCTATCATAAGGTAAACAAAATATCTAAGGTTGAAATTCTGGAGTCAGTAACGCCAGGAACAAGACAAAACCTTCTCAGTTATTTTGTCAGTTATGTAATGTTCAGGACATCTTGTAAAATTCACTAAGAAAAAGAAATGAGACATATAACTCTCTTAAAAGGATAAAAAAGGGTCAGTTACAAAAGATACAAATTCCGATAACTAACTGAAAAGTTTTTTAGATCAGTAAAAATTATTCAGTGAGATAAGTAGTTCAAATCATGAGTAAAGTATAGCCTTCTTATATATCAGTAATAAATAGAACATACAGTAATAAATAGAATAAAAGATTTTTTGAAGTCACAACTGTTAAAGTTCCTACAAGAAATAGCTGAGATAACTACAAAACTTTACTTAGTAGCATAAAAGAAAACTTGAACTATTAAAATATTTTTTATTCTTTCCTGAAGTGTTTTTAAGTAGAATGTAATTGTTTCTTTAGTTGACAATAGTTCTGAAGTTTATTAGAAACATTGAATGATCAAGGATAAATAAGAAAGGCTTGACAGAGGAAACTAAGTGGGGCCTCCAGAGCAAATATCAAGACATAGTATGAAATTACAGTAATTAAAGCCACAGTAAGACTAATTAATGGAAAAGATTAGGAACCTCAGAAACAGTCTTATGCATACAATTCAACATATAAAAACATTAAATAATATTTTAAATTGGTGAAGAAAGACAAATGGTGATTGTTATCTATGTTGAAAAATATCAGGTTTGTATGTAATATACATACTGCTAACAGATTGAGTTTTGATACAAAATTATAAATTTTCAGAATTAAAAAAGTCTGACTTCAAGACAATTAAAATCAAAGCACAAAAGCTATATAGCAATACTGTACCTGTTTAGCCCTTCTCACAAAAGACTCATGAATTAGTCTGTTAAGCCATTCTAAAGTCACAAAAACTGTACAGAAAATGAAAAATTACTTTCCACGAGGGAAAAATATTTGTGACATATAATATTACTGCTCCCAAAGTGATTGTCCTGATTCTTTAAATAATTAATGAAACAGTGAGTGACACAAACTCATGACTGTTTATTTGAAATTAGTGCTATCACCAGCATTATTCGTTAATTCCTCTGTAATCTGACACTGGCAGACAATTTCTTTATAGAAATGTTTTTTTTTTCTTTAGATAGTCTGTTTACTCTTGTCCAGCCAAACTACAGACATGGCAGAGGCATTCCTCCTCACACCAAGTATCTTGTGTTGTACTCTTCTATAGCACAGCTTAGCTATCATAAAACCCCAGCACAGTGCAGGCTTTCATGCTGTAAGGATGGCACAGTGCCTGCTTGTCCTGTGCCTGTGTCCCCATCCTGTCTCAGTGTAGCCTGCATAGTAGTCCAACGTATCTTTTCCTTTTCCAGAATCCATGATTCTCATTAATTTGTATTCACAGCATCTAATATAAGCAAAATATTCATATCTGTAAGTTTAAAGGCCTTTTCCAAATCAAAACAAAGTGGAAAAATGGGCAAAAATCAGAATACACTTCTAAAGACTAGGTATGTATATATAAGAAAATAAGTAGAGATTCTCATAGAGGTTTATATACAAGGTAGTAATAACTTAATTATTTAAAAGAGCAAAAAGTTTGAAGCAACCCAAATAACCAGTAGAGGTACTAGTTTAATAAATTTGTGTGCATCCATAGCATAAAATAATGTAAAGGTGTTGAAAGTCGTATTTTAGAAGAATATTTAAATTGCCTGATAAATTGCTTAGCAATAAACTAAGAAATGAAAAGCAGAATATAATGCCAGTTTGTTAAAATGAAAAAAGAAAAACATAAATGCAGTGAAGAAAAAAGATAAAGTAAATGCAACAATATGTTAATGTTTTCTTCCAGGCTTACAGCAGTGTGAATTTTTTCTTTTTTGTATTTCCCATATTACCTATACTTTTGTGGTCTTTTTGCAATTGTACAAGAATATATGTCATGTTTAAAGTTTAGCAGATACTGGGGGGATACATTTAATTACTTTTGAGTTATATTACACCAGCAAATCTCTTTCTGCTCCAACAGTTTTGCAAAAAGATCATTAAACTTTGCTTTACCCTCTTACGGCAGGTATGGGATGGCACCAGGACCCCATTCCCATCTTGGAGAGTCTTAATACAAGACCTTGCTCTAGAAGGTGATTTAAGCCATATTAATCGGCTGCAGAATCTGACAATAGACATTTTAGTCTATGACAACCATGTTCAAGTGGCAAAATCTCTGAAGGTGATGTTGAGTAGCAAATGTTTGCTATTTTGTATTTTTGTAAATTTGGGGGTAAATCACATTTATAGATAATATCAGGATCTAGAAATTAACTTCAAATTTATTTTCCTTTAATCTTTAATTGTAAAGTGTACTAAGTATTATTGATTGGTTCGACAAAATCTAGCCTGTAACTTTGTATTCATTACTTAAAATCATTAATCCACTTCTAATATTTATGATAAATTATATTTGCATTTGTGTGTGTTACAGTTTATAAAAATTTGCTCACTGTTTTTGAGATACAGCTTTTTAGATAGAAGTACACTCTTTAGATATGACACTTCTTGCTTATTAATAAAATTTTAGGGAATATTTTCCTTCTGTTATATCTTATTTGCAAGTATCCTTTCTAACAAAGAATAGTATCATTAATAATAAAAAAATAATAGTAACATTTGTTAAGCACTTCATATGTACTTAGAACTGTCCTGTGTGGTAGGTACTATCATATTTTGATTTTACAAATGTGAAAATGGAGGCATGTTTCCATTTTACAAGCAAGAAAATGTTAAGTCCAAGATTTCGTAGCTGCTGGGATGAAGCTACTTGTTTAAATCTACAGTGTCTGTTTCTGGAGCCAATCCTCATTAACAATATATGAAATGATTTTCTTTATTGAAATAGCTTCCATTCTACCTTTCAGAAGTTATACAGACTATTTAGAGGAAAGAAACTGTGAAAGTGAATTGCAGTTTTTTTAGATCTGAATTTTAGTCCCCAGATTCCCTTGGTAAATAAATGTTCTTCGAGGAGGAAATAATTCCACTCACACATTATGTTACAAATAGGGCTGCGCAACTCAAATCAATAAATTAGGTTAAAGTCAGGGTCCAGAAAGGTGATAACTGCATTTTCTTGTGCTTTATGCATGTGTGTATGTGCACGTGTTCATACTTGGCATTCCAGAGAAAATTAACAGTTGAAGATTTATTTTTGACGCATTTCTGTTTTATCTGCATTGATTATTTTTTTCTGACAATAAATGTAATGTTAAAGCAAATTCTGAGATCTTTTAAGAACACAGTTTTAAAAATAAAATGTGAATTTATTTTTTATTCTATTTTCACCATTTAATTCCCTTCTGTTTCCCAGTTCTGCTTCTCTAAGTCTTTCTATTTTCTTGCTTTTACTGATTTCCTTGTCCAAGCCCTGAACAGTACCCAGCGTAGTGCTTTCCACATAGTAAGGATGAAGTAAATAATATCTGCCAGTGAATCAATGAGTACTCTGCATTTTTGATATTTTTTTCCATCTCCCTTTTGTCTGCTTTATCTCACCCACTAGAGGGTGCTATGAGAGCGCACATAATAAAATATAGGACAGTTAATTTCTTGCTAAAGATACTAACATTATTTATCTTCAGTGTAGTAGAAAAATGAAAAGGATTGTCTCTGTATATTAGTAATATAATGGTGGGCTTTTATTTAATGTGCATTGACATCATATCAATAATTAATTTATAATTAAGTAAATCATTTAAATAATAATTTCTTAAATTTATTTTGAAATAACCTCTATACCATTTCACATTGAGAAATCTCCAGAGTCGTGACATTGGTACAAATTAATTCTTATCAGCACTTGAGGACAACTGTTTAAAATTGTATCTTTAAACCAAAGTACATGTAACACAGTGTATTTTTGTTGTGTAGTAACAGGAAAAAGGTGTCATTTTTTTAATAAAGATGACAGTTAAGGCAATTCTAAAGTTAAGTTTAATTGACTTCTTTCTATATTTTATAGCCTAAATTGCTTTTAACATTTTTCTTAAACCTTGCATTTAAAGTTTTACACACACACACACACACACACACACACCAAATGCCATTTCAAACCTTTAGCCAGACATTAGAACAGTGTATTTTCAATGTCCAGTCTTTCCCTGACAGAATTTAAAGAACTGTAAAAGTTATAACTACTTTTTGCCTTTCAGTAGTTCAAGAGCTATAGTTGTTTATTTTCAGACATAAACAAATCTTTAAAAATATTAAAACTAAAGGGATATTCTTGACAGTTTATAAAGGAATACTTAAGTTATTTCTAAAGGAATAGTGATTTAATAGCCATATTTGCTTTTGCTTATCTTTAATGTTTCTGTTTTGAAATGGGCCTTTACAACAATTCTTTATATTTTTATAATTTTTGGTTATGACTCCTTTACTTGTATTTTTGGAATCTTATCACATTACTGACAAGGTTAAGCAATATTTGTCTATTATAGTAGCACATCTGCCACATTTCATAGTAAATTTAGCAAACTTAAAAAAAATACAATGCTGCCTCCAGAAGGAATTTCTAGAAATAACAATTTGTCATCTTTCTAGCTTATTCATATAAATTTTCTCTTGGTCTTTACATTTTGTTTTATTATGAAATACAGTAGTAGAAAAGATAGTATAATAAACACCCATATGTCTATCTCCAAGAACATTCCTAAATGTTTTGCCACACTTATTTCAGGTACTTCTAATTTTTAGGAAATACTTCTGTACTGCTGAACGTTCTTTGTGCCTCTGCTTATTCCCGTTTTTTGCTCCCCAATATTCTTTTTCTACTTATCCTAATGTGTAGGTATGTACAGTCACATTTATCATACTTTTATATACTTTTGTCTGAAAAACACATGTAGTATGTGTATCATTCTATAATTTGCTTTTTTCCCTTTATGTTGAAATTTTAAGATTTGCCATGTTCATACATGTGTCTGTAATAATACCAGACTGTATTATGTATTATACCTTTATTTATAAATGATATTCCATAGATCTAGCAAGCTCCCTCTCCCAGCTCAGTCCTCAAAATTGACTTGCTAGTCACTTTCATATACATTTTCAGATCAACTTTTCAAATTCCATGAAAGACACTGGGGATTTTGATTGAAATTGCATTAATTTTAAGCTTAATTAATTTGTGGAAAATTACCATCTTTATAATGTTGAAGCTTTTCATATATGAATATGTTATCTTTCTCATGTGTTTAGGTCTTCTTTTAAGTCCTTTGTAGATTATATACATATACTGTACAGTGTAATTATGTATATTTAAAGAGAATTGTAGAATAATAAATATTTGAAAAGAGTGAGGTTAAAGTAAATAGAAGTAGATTGCTTTATATATTTTGGAGACCCTGAGGAAAATCAGTTTTGTCTTCTCTTTCTTTTTGGTGTTTTCCTTCTCGAACTCTCCTTACCCTGCTTCCTTGCCATGATGCAATTGTCAGTGGAAGAAGTCAGGGAAGAGAAGACTAAATGCCTTACCTCGTTCTCACAAAACCCATGATTGGGTGGGTTAAAGACCCTTGAGAATAAAAGAGTAGCATCGTCTGGGAGTATAGACTGTCCCCCTTGCTCTGCTCCCTTCCCCACGCATCAAATCCAGAGGGTAATGAGGAGAAATATAGTTGACTGAAACAGTAATAAGCAGAGGTGGGAAATTGGTTTACTACCTCATCTTTTTTATATTCCCCTATATACAGCTTTTCTGTTACATAGTATCTCACCACTGTTACACAATCCTGACCCTGGAAAGAAGAGAGAATGTATGTAGTCCCACAGTTATCAGTGGTCAGGAGTGCTGTTTTATACCAGCAAATCCAATTTCCTAGTTGGTAACTCCTTTTGTTTGTAACTCTTTCTCATGAAAGTCACTGTGATTTAGGTTATATAGCTTCTTCCCTTGAATAGATGTCAGTTTCTTTTTAAATGTTCTACATTAAAAGAATATCAAATACCCTATAATTAGAGACATTTTTAATTTTAGCATAGCTAAACATCTAAAGTTAACTATGGAACATTTGGTTCAAAACTATAATTGGTTTAATCCTGTATTTGAACTCATAAATGTGTGTGCTTTACGGTATACAGACACAATTGTTTATTAACAAAAGTTGTGGGATGGGGGATGTTTATTATTTTGATATTGTAGGACATTTAAAAATATATTCTAGTATTCTCACAGTGACAGTTTTTAGTGATAATATTTAATTAAATTTACCTGAAAGTAGTTAAAGCAATTTTTTTCAGAAACCTGAAGTTTTCCCAATCAGATAGAAAGCTTAGATTTGATTTAAGTAATGGATTTCTTAACTACTAAATTTTATTAATGTGAAGACTCAATCTTATTTTGCACTTAAATATCTCTGAAATGAAAGTATGTCTTACATTTGAAAAAATATGTCTATGTACGTACATACATGCATAGCTTTGTAGAGACATAGGTTTTGGTTTTGATACAGTGTCCTTGGGGCCAATATTCAGTACATACCAGTATAGCAAACCTGTGTCCTTTCTGATGGGTCAGCACCCCTGGTTGGTCAGCATGAATATCAGAGATTGTTTGATTTTTCTATATTTTCTAAATAATAAGTTATCTATTTTTAGGTTGGGAGCTTTCTTAGAATTTACAGCCTCCATACCAAACTTCAGTCTGTGAATTCAGAGACCCAAGCAACATTGTTAGCTCTAGAGTTTCATCTCCATGGGGGTACCAGTTATGGTCGGGGAATCAGAGTCTTGCCAGAAAGTAACTCTGATGTGGATCAACTGAAAAAGTAAGCATATTATGTATCTATTTAGAAATAGTAACTAAGGTATTAATTAAGCTGATTTCCAAAATAATATTGTTTGGGAGTGTGCATGGGGATGGTGATTGGTATCTGATAGGCTCCTTGTAATTGATCCTCATAGACTCCTTTGCCATTATCCATTTTTTTAAACAGATGAACTAAATGAAACAAATTAAGTGATTGTGGCTTCCAGTAGCTAAATGGTAGCAGAGCTAGGGGTATAGATTTAAGTTTCCAATAGTTACTTATGTCTACTCTTGCACATATGCTCTTCTACCATTGGCCACCTGCTCCATGTATAGTAACAGTGGAAACTGGACCTTAACTAAAGTATGAAAAACTTGATGTGTATCTAGGATTCTGAACATACTTCCTGCCATGAAAAAAAATTTTCTTTCTAAAGTACCTATGACTGATAAAAAAAAAGGTAATAGAAGTGTTTTAGGGTACCATATTTTTACAACCTTTAGATGTGCCCCAAAAGTGAACTGTATCTTAACTTCAGCTGTATTTCAATTCCTTTTTTCCTGAAGTATTCCTAGTGGTCACTGTGTACAGAAATTTTTGACCAGTATTTTAGAGATATAAAAATATATTTGCATATCTTCAAAGAAATGTAGGAAATACTCTGTTCTGCACATTGAAATGAAGTAACTATTTTCCAAGTTTTGATATATATTGAAGTCAGTGTGACTTTAAAACCAATTAAATTGGCTATTTTAATAAACATACCAGTTTCACTACTTTTTTTTCATATTGGAATATATATCAATGCAGTATTTCACTTGAATCTAGAATGAGGTTGTTGTGGCTGTGAATGTCACCCATTAAATTCCCAGATTATTTTTGTTCGCAGTTTCATTATCCCATTGTTCACTTTCAGAAGATACCATCTGTCTGGAATCAGGTTTAAACTTTGGGTGCCTTTGGAACCCCCAAATAATCTGATGTAAGCTATAGGCCTTCTATTGAAGAATGCGTACGCACAGAGGATCTTTTACACAGTTTCAGTGATTTCTTGGTTTCTTAGGACAGAACTAAATTAACCATAATAACTTGGTTTTGTAATTTCAAGTTATACTCTTTCAATTATAGGAGTTTAGAATCTGCAGATTTGACAGCCAATCAGTCTCATGGTATATGTCAATCAGAACATGAGGACAGCTTTCCAACTGTTTCAAGTAAGAACAGTTTTTAATGTTGACAGTTTAATTTCTGCTACATAAAACAGCTTTATCAACATTAATCCTCTTTTTTAACATCTTCTCATCCCTTCCTCTTTTTTCTTAAATCCATATTCTTGTAAAGGAACTTGCTAGATCTTTATCTGTGTCCTGTGCAAAGGTAAATATTACTCCTCCCTTAATTACATAATTACATTTTCACACTGTGGTGGTAAGGATTACTTGATTTATAACATATAATATTATATATTTATATATGTACTTTATGTATATGTGTGTATTATTTTTTTCAATCATACGTATTTTAGAGGTATTTTTTAATCATATATATCTTAGAGGTATGCATGGTTCCCAGTCTTTATCAGAGTTAATCAGGTACCATATTAAAATTGGTTGCATATTTGTTGTGTATTTATATTTTGTCTACCTGTATAAATGATTATTCAAATCTAAATTTTAAAACTCTCAATCTATAAGATTTTTTTCCTTTACCACTTTGTCTTAATGTCTGCTTGTACATTCTGGGACCTGGAATCTATGTGATGTTTCTGTCCCATATTTTTTTACATTCTAATTTCTTCCCTACTATGACAACCATTTTGTAAGTATTTACTCTCTTTCTATACCAGCAATGGTAAGCATTAAAATTAACGTGTATTACTTTGTAGGCACTTCTGAGTGGCTACATGCATTATTTTTTAATCCTACTAACACTCATATGAGATTGATATTATTTTTGCGCTTTTACAAAAGGAAACTGAGGCTTTGAGTGATGAGGGTTAGATAATTTGCTCAGTGTTACTTAGCTGTTAAGTGATCTCAAAGCCAGTCAGATTCAAATACAGGCTGTTTGATTTCTTTGTATACATTTTAAGTTTATGTTTTCATTATCTCTGCCTTAAAACTCTCCATGTTTCCTGCCACCTTGCTGATGGCATTTTAGCTTGATGTGTGATTACTTGAACTTCCATTAAGAGGCCAATTTATTTAAATGACTGTCATTTGGAGACAGTATAATTTGTAATTAGGCTTTTTGAAACCTCCTTTCTCCTTTGACAAGAATTTTTGTTATTTTTAAATTACAAAAGTAGTACCTGTCTTATAATATCAAGTTATGTAGCATCCCATGCCTGTATGCCCAGTCCAGAGATAATGTTAACAGTTTAGTATGATTCCATAACCTCTTCATGTTTACACAAATATATATATATACCTGTACATAAACAGATAGGACTTTACCTCTATTTAAATTTTTACAAAAATGGGACCATATCATATAGTTGCTTTCTTTAACAGTATATCATGGACATCTTACAGGCTAATTCATGTGACTCAAACTCATTCTTCTAATAGTTGCATAATATTTTGTAATATGAACCTAACATTGCAAAGTCGGCCATTTTCTGTTTGATAAGGCATTCAGTTTGCTTCTATTTTTTTTTTTGTCCATACAAATAATTCTTTAATAGCCATCCTTGAACAATTGTGTTTTCATGTTTTTATGTCTCTAAAATTCCTAAAAGTGGGGTTGATGGATCAAATAGTAAATATATCTTTTGTTTTACTAAATGGTGCCATATTATATGACAAAATGTCACAGTATTCGTATGCAAATAGCAGTGTAAGAGAATGTCCTTTCCTCGCATTCTCAGCTGCATGAGAGGTTAACAGTATATGCAATTTTTGACAGTTTGGCAGGTAGAAGGTGATATTTCATTTCCCTGAGTACTTACAAGCTTGAAAATATTATGTATTTATCTGTCCTTTTTACCCCCTTTTTTGAATTGCCTGTTCTTAGCCTTCATTTGATTTTTCTTTTGGGTTTTCTATCTCTTATCAGTTTGTAAAAGAACATATACCTATTTTGCACGTCTTCTCTTATTTTCTTATTATTTGACTATTTTTAAGGTTTTTGCCACTGTTTTCACTTCATGCAGAATGGCAGATATTAAATAATCAGATTACTGAAATTATACTTTACCATCTTAATATGTCCATTCAACTGCTCTTGCCATGAATTCTTGCACCATGTATTGTAATGTAGAGGAATGAGGACAAAAATGCATATATTTGTATATGAGGCCAGATAAATTATAAAAACATACTAATACATATAATAGAATGTGAGGTAGAATAATTGCAAAATATGGATGCCTTTTAAAATCTTAAACCCACTTTAGAAAGTAGTATTAAAACTCACTGCTATTTTCAGTGCTTTTGCTTTCTTGTTAAAGTAAAAAATGTTTCATTGTGTTTATCAAGTCATATTATTAAATTTAGTAAGTTTGTTATTTTATCCACCTCTCCCTTTATTTCCTTCACAATGTAATTTTCCAACATAATAAAATTTCCAAATGTACAGATAAGTTTAAACAATTGTACAGTAAACATTCATATGCCTACCATCTAGATTCTCCAGTTAACATTTTACTCTATTTACTCTGTCATATATCTATCCCTCTTTTAATCCATGAACTCTTCTTATTTTTTGACACATTTCAGAGTAAGCTGCAGATATAAAATATGCCTCCTGAACACTTCAGAGTGAACATCATTAATTAGAGTTCAATAGTTGTTCAGGATGCTTTCCTATTTTTGAGGTAAAGTTATATTCAATGAAATGAACAACTTAAGTGTACCATCCATGTTGACTGATACATAAATCTGTGTAACCTAAATATCTCATTATGTAGAATATCACTCTTATTGCAGAAAGGTGCTTCATGGTCCTTCCTAGTCAATCCCCACCCCCATTCCAAAAGTTGTTTTTTTCCATACATTAATTATGCCTATTCTAGACCTTCAAGTACATTATGTACTCTTGTACATAATCTATATTTTTGAGTTTCACCCATAATGTTGCATCTATCAGTGGTATGTTCCTTTTAAATAGTTAATAGTATGGTATGAGGTAGACATTTTTAAAAATATGTATTTCCAGTTATTGTAGCACCTTTGTTTCCATCCTTAAGATGGATTTAGTGCCTTTGTCAAAAATCAAATGCAGATGTGTGGATTTATTTCTGGGTTTTCCTAATAAAGGTGTGAAGTAAGCATTTTGTTTTCCCTTTGGAAAAGGAGTTCTGCTTTTCCAAGACTTTTGCTTTTCCTTTGGATTATTTTACAGCTTTATCAAAAATCAAATGATGATGTAAATGTGGGTTTATTTCTAGATTTCTGTTTAATTCTGTTGCTATTAGTCACTTTTCCTGCCAGTACTACATTGTCTTCATTACTATAACTTTATAGTAAATCTTGAAGTTGTGCAGTAGAAGTCCTCCAATTTTTTTTTTCAAGATTATATTCTATATTCCGGATTCTTTGCATTTCCACTTAAGTGATGGAATCTCATCTCTTTCCACAATAAAGCCTCTGCAATTTTAATTAGGATTATATTGACTCCACAAATCAATTTGGGGAGAATTGGTGTCATAACGATATTGAGCTTTCTAATCCATGACGTGATATATTTCACTGTTTATTTAGATTTTCCTCAGTTTCTCAACAATGTTTTCAATGCCACATTGAATTTTTAATGGATTTTAAAACTGCGTAATTCTTTTTTCCCTCTCCTTCCTATAGGCTCTGGATCAGTATCACTGTATGAGGTGGAAAGATGTCAACAACTGTCAGCTACAAGTAAGACAATGTCTTGTTTTTGGAATATGAGCATAGTAGTGGATGTAATACAGTCCTTAAACTTACCAACTAATTTATTCCTATCTAATATTGAAAGCAGGTATCCATGAAGACAAAAATATCCATATTTATCTTATATTTATTTACCTCATCCTAACTGGCATAATGTGGAACCCAGAAAGATATATGCTTTTACATTGAATATGTATTTTAAGTCATGTATTTTTATGGTCTTTGAACATATCCTATTATTTAATAGTGCAATAAGGCTTATTTTTAGTCTGAGAATGTAAAATATTATGTAAGACATTAATTTTAATCAGGTCACAATATGCATTTAGCAGTGTACATAAAGGAGCTTCTTACAGTATGCCCAAAACTTTAATTTTACCAATGATAGTAAATCTGTCAGATGCCCTCATTATATTTCTTCAGCTAAAATTAAAAAATTAAGAAAAAATAATTTTAAGCACAAGTATGCTAAATTAAGCTCTGTAATATGCTATTATAAAAATACAAGTTTCTCATTGGAGAAAGAACATGTAACTGGAATGGGGGAACGCTAGAATAAAGAATATTATATTGGAATGGGAAATATGTAGTCATGGTTTTATTGATAGATACAAACATAGATATAGATGTGTGTGTATGTAATGTATTCACTCACATACATATTCATACATACTGTATGAACAGGTATATGTGTTTAAGTGTGAGTATGAACATGTGTGCATGGACACCCTAGCTCTGTCAGTTAGAGCGCATGGAAACAGTGACACCCAGTAGCAACGAGCACTTCTAGTGCACAGATCTTGGCTTATAATAAAAGTTGTTTTTTTCCATACATTAATTATGCCTATTCTAGACCTTCAAGTACATTATGTACTCTTGTACATAATCTATATTTTTGAGTTTCACCCATAATGTTGCATCTATCAGTGGTATGTTCCTTTTAAATAGTTAATAGTATGGTATGAGGTAGACATTTTTAAAAATATGTATTTCCAGTTATTGTAGCACCTTTGTTTCCATCCTTAAGATGGATTTAGTGCCTTTGTCAAAAATCAAATGCAGATGTGTGGATTTATTTCTGGGTTTTCCTAATAAAGGTGTGAAGTAAGCATTTTGTTTTCCCTTTGGAAAAGGAGTTCTGCTTTTCCAAGACTTTTGCTTTTCCTTTGGATTATTTTACAGCTTTATCAAAAATCAAATGATGATGTAAATGTGGGTTTATTTCTAGATTTCTGTTTAATTCTGTTGCTATTAGTCACTTTTCCTGCCAGTACTACATTGTCTTCATTACTATAACTTTATAGTAAATCTTGAAGTTGTGCAGTAGAAGTCCTCCAATTTTTTTTTTCAAGATTATATTCTATATTCCGGATTCTTTGCATTTCCACTTAAGTGATGGAATCTCATCTCTTTCCACAATAAAGCCTCTGCAATTTTAATTAGGATTATATTGACTCCACAAATCAATTTGGGGAGAATTGGTGTCATAACGATATTGAGCTTTCTAATCCATGACGTGATATATTTCACTGTTTATTTAGATTTTCCTCAGTTTCTCAACAATGTTTTCAATGCCACATTGAATTTTTAATGGATTTTAAAACTGCGTAATTCTTTTTTCCCTCTCCTTCCTATAGGCTCTGGATCAGTATCACTGTATGAGGTGGAAAGATGTCAACAACTGTCAGCTACAAGTAAGACAATGTCTTGTTTTTGGAATATGAGCATAGTAGTGGATGTAATACAGTCCTTAAACTTACCAACTAATTTATTCCTATCTAATATTGAAAGCAGGTATCCATGAAGACAAAAATATCCATATTTATCTTATATTTATTTACCTCATCCTAACTGGCATAATGTGGAACCCAGAAAGATATATGCTTTTACATTGAATATGTATTTTAAGTCATGTATTTTTATGGTCTTTGAACATATCCTATTATTTAATAGTGCAATAAGGCTTATTTTTAGTCTGAGAATGTAAAATATTATGTAAGACATTAATTTTAATCAGGTCACAATATGCATTTAGCAGTGTACATAAAGGAGCTTCTTACAGTATGCCCAAAACTTTAATTTTACCAATGATAGTAAATCTGTCAGATGCCCTCATTATATTTCTTCAGCTAAAATTAAAAAATTAAGAAAAAATAATTTTAAGCACAAGTATGCTAAATTAAGCTCTGTAATATGCTATTATAAAAATACAAGTTTCTCATTGGAGAAAGAACATGTAACTGGAATGGGGGAACGCTAGAATAAAGAATATTATATTGGAATGGGAAATATGTAGTCATGGTTTTATTGATAGATACAAACATAGATATAGATGTGTGTGTATGTAATGTATTCACTCACATACATATTCATACATACTGTATGAACAGGTATATGTGTTTAAGTATGAGTATGAACATGTGTGCATGGACACCCTAGCTCTGTCAGTTAGAGCGCATGGAAACAGTGACACCCAGTAGCAACGAGCACTCCTAGTGCACAGATCTTGGCTTATAATATTCCCTCTTAAAAGGATTCAGGGCTGATTGGAGAAATAGCAGATTCCAGGATTGGGGCAGGAGAATTACAAGATGAGTCTGGAACATCTTATGCCAGAAAGAGGTTCTCAATTAATGATGGAGCATGTCAAATCTGATACAGTTTAAACATCAAATAAAAAATAGTAGTGTTAGAATAGAACTGATTAAATAAAGTAGGAATCCATGTGGATAGTAAATAAAGAACAAAACAAATAAATGATGTTGAATGGAAAGCTCTTAAAAATGAGTGCAACCAATAAATGTAAAAGGAATGATGAAATTAGGAAAAAATCACTATTTTGCAACCATGATAGTAATGATTGATTTAGTTGTGAATCATTAGTGGATCCTAAATATCCTAAAGGTTTAGTGAACATTAGGATATTTATATTTTCCTGAGTACTTTCTTACCAATTATAAAGGGGAAAGTAGTAAGTCTGTAGTGGATAAACCTGCTATACCTTCATCTGAGCAGTTAGCATCCCCAGGAATGAAAACAGATATCTTATGTCTCTTGATGTGATGCACTGAGAAGGCCACAATATCACCTATATAGTAGTATTTCTGCCCCAATGCATCATCTGTATCTGGTTATGAGAAAAAACAGACACAGCCAAATAAATGGCCTCTAGTCCTTAAACACATCAAAATGTCATGAAAGACAAAAGCTGCGGAACCATTCTACATTAAAGGAGTCCAAGATAAAGGAAAAATCAATGCATGTTCAAGATTGGATTCTGAACCTGAAAATAAAATTCTGAATAAGAACATTATAGGCACAGTTGGAAAAATATGAATAGTATCTGTTGATTCAATGATGATATTACATCATTAAGTGTTCCGATGTTGAAAATTGCACTGTAATATGTCAATGAAATTTCTTGTTCTTGTGAAGTGCACACCAAAGTATTTAGGGATAAAGGGACATAATGTCCACAAAGTATTATCTAATGATTTGGGGGTATATATATATGGATAGAGGAAGATAAAGACAAAGGGAGATGATAAATGTGGCAAAATGTTAACAAAGTTGACAATTAATACAACTTGATTAGATTTTTTTGGTATATATTTGGTTCAGGGGGATTCATATCATGAATATACTTACTATACTTATTGTAGATTATTAACTTAATGTAAAAATTCTTTATAGTACTTACAGATCATCAGTATTTGGAGAAAACTCCACTATGTGCTATTTTGAAACAAAAAGCTCCCCAACAATATCGCATCCGAGCAAAACTGAGGTCATATAAGCCAAGAAGACTCTTTCAGTCCGTTAAACTTCATTGTCCTAAGTGTCATTCACTGTAAGTATTTTCCATAGTATAACAGAAGTTTTCAGTTCATACTTGTGTATATATGTTTCCATATCTATCAGGTTAAGTCCTAGCAATGAGTAAATTGTGATTTTATGTATTGTATTTTGAAAGAATGGTAACATTTTTAAGAGAAAATTCTAAATTCTTAGAAAGTAAATCCTTTGATATTTTGTAGTAATAATACAAGTGTGTGGCATTTTCAGATCTGAAATTCAATTTAGTAGCTCTGATAAATGCAAACAAATAATAAACTATGAAAATATTTGGGAAGACTTTCTCGTTTGTCACAAAAAAAGTCTTAAAAATATAGCCATTAATATTTAAAATTCTTAAATAGAAAAGACTTCTGGTTGGTTGAAATTTCTTAAGTGATACAGAAAGTTCTGTCACAAATATTTCTGTCACACTTAATGACTATAATATAGTAAATATAATTTAAATTTTTGTTAGTAATTGAGAATTTCTCAGTGCCTCAAAGTTTTTATTTATATATAAATATAAATTTGTAAGACATGAGAATAAATATGCAATTAGTTCATGACATATTCGGAAATTATTTTTAATCCCTCTTTTTCATGCAGTTTGTCTTCTTTCTAAATACAGTGTGCAAATATGTGTACATTTTCATATTTGTGTGTATATATTCTTTGCTTCTGTGTACACTAATACATATATTTTCTCCTCCAAAATCTAAGTATAATAATACTATTTGTAGAAATTTTTGATCAAGTCTCTCTAAAAAAAGGAAACCATCTTCTTCCCATTTGAGCTTGAAATGGTAGTTGGAATTAAAATACAAATACAGACTTTAGATAATTGCTGAAGTATTATTAATTTGTAGTTTGCAAAATCTGTAAAATCATAACTTTGCCAAATGAAATTACCCTCTATAGCTATTTTATAAACAAGTAAGAAAATCATCTCAGAAAGGTTAAGAAGTTTGGTTGGTAGCAAAATAGGACAAGGACATAAACCTTTTGATTCCAGATCATGCCATTTCTGTTGTATCATATTTTACCATATGACTTTTTAAAATTATTATTCTAGATTAAAAGAAATTGGAATATTGGTTTGTAAAGTAGGTGCCCTAGGAAAGTTATACCACTTGTGTGGTAAGTGTTTATTTAACTGGAATGAAGATGGGGCAACTGCATGTTTTTCTTCCCCTGAAAGGTTAGCATACCTTATAGAGGAGAAAAGACTGGTGCTAGAAATAATTATAGATAACCCTGGTATCCCAGAACCAGGCAAGGCAATTGCTAGTGGTTAATGTAATTATGATACAGATCTATTTAGCCTGGAAATATCAAGTATCTTTCTATTGAATGAAAGTCATTTAATCTGCAAAGTGAATTATTTCCATAATTTAAAATAAGTGGCTGGCTCATCAGCACATAAACAGATGTTTTTAAATTGGATAATTTGTTAAATTTGAATTTCCAAGCTTACACCAATTGTTTTCTGTTATTTCATTGTCAATTTTAGGCAAGAAGTTACACATGGATAATTTGTTAAATTTGAATTTCCAAGCTTATACCAATTGTTCTGTGTTATTTCATTGTCGATTTTAGGCAAGAAGTTCCACATGAGGGTGATTTGGATATAATTTTACAAGAGGGTGCAACTAAAACCCCAGATGCCAAACTACAAAATACATTACTATATGATTCAAAAATGTGGACGACTAAAGACCAAGGAGAACGAAAAATAGCTATTCATTTTGTGAAAAATAATGGCATTCTCCCACTTTCAAATGACTGTCTAATTTTGATAGAAGGTAAGAAATGTAAGTTACTGTTTATAAGAATACAGCTTTTCCTTATGTCTTTCTCTCATGAGTTATTGTTAAGTATATTTCAGGGGCAAACCTAGGCCATATAAAGTCAAAGTACTTTTAATTTAAATTTCATAAAATGGAATGTATTATATGTACAACTAGATTGAAATACCATATACATATACACATGACATTTTGAAATTATATATTAAAGTCAGATGTTTGCATTTGTCCATCTTGTAGGATTCCTGCATATAGTCTTTATCAGATCCAAGCTAATTGTGAAGCAGAGTAATAAGCAAGAGGCCACTTGTTATGTATAGTTACTGTTCTCTTGGCCTCTGGATGTCACTATTGTTTCATAAAAATAGAATAGAAGTCATCTATTCATAACTAATCAAGGAAGAGACCCTTGAAACAAGATGACGTGTATCAAAGGAATGAAACTTTGAGACATACTAATTTTTGCATTTTTTTCTGCTTTTGTCTCAGTTTTATCTAATATTTATCTAATATATATACCACATAATTTTCCCATGCATGCCAGATTTAAAGTTTCATTATTTTCCTTGAAACTTTTCTTCCTTAGTACCATTACATAATAAAAGGAAAGCATAATCTGACATTTGCTTTAGAAAAATCCTTAGTTTCATTTGATCAGTGAACTGATCTTTATTGCAATGGATTATAATTTTATTACTGACACTTTTTATTTATAAAAGTAATATGTAATCATTTTATAAAATGTATATATATATACATATATATGAGTATGCATGTATATAAACATTGGTATCACTTTTATGAACATCTTTTGTTTAATACATTATAGAATACCAAAAACTATTTTAATTAGTTTCTATGTATTAATTCATTTAATCATCACAACAGTCCTATGCAGTGTGTTCTAATTATAAGCTATTTTTTATACCTCGAGAAAACTGAACCACAAAAAGTTAAGTGTCTTTCCCAGTATGGATAGTAAGTAGTGAAAATCAATTCTTTCCTGTTTTTTGACATAGTAACTGTGATGAACTTTATCTCCTCCCTGTATGAAGTATAATGATGGGGGCTTAAGGAGTATAGTAAATGTTACCCAATTACTTCCTAGTTTAGTTATCCTTGTGTGCATATGCTTTAGCAGCAGACTAGATCATCTGTTTCCCTACCCTCTTCATCATATACTAACACTTTAATAAACTTTGCTATTTTGATGAATGAAATGTGGTCTTATTCCACTAGCAGTATTTTAAATCTGTACCAGGACATAAATATAAAAACAAAAACAGAAACATGCATGCAGAAAAATGGAGTCAGACTGTTTATATGCCCTAAAAATAAAATAAAGCTGTGGTCCTATCAGATTCTGTAAGAACTGTCTCTGTAAGGCCAACCAAGAGGATGTAAGGTATACCTTAGGTTTCTCCTGTGTTAAACTACCTCCCGCAGAATTCTGTGCTGAAGCCAAGTTGGCCTTGTGGGTCCAAAGGTAAGATGAATAAAAAAGTCCCCTTAGTTCCCAATCCTATCTTTAATTACCAGTCGTCCCACAAACTTTCAGTCTCCTCTCTTACCATTTCTCAACCCCTGTCCATATTGAACTGGTGGCAGTTCATAAGCCCAGTATATTTCTCTGTGCCTCTGCCATTCCATTGCAATTTTCCTTAGAATTTCTGCTGTAGTACATCTTCAGAAGTAAATTCATAATCCACTTTATTCAGCAATTCATATGAAATACTTAATGAGCACCTACATATAACAGGCACTTTTCTGATTCACCAGGCAGATTTGAGTGGTTCTTAGTGCATACTGTATGAACTTCCAATGAAGCACTTTTTTTCTTGTATTAGATTTGTGTTATATCTGTGTTAATAGATATCTTTCCTTCTTGGAATATAAGCTCCTTATGGACAGGATAGATCTTTATTTTAATCTATGTATCTTCAGCATCTGCAGTAGTATACCTGGCACGTAACAGATTCTCAGTGAATATTTACTGAATAAGTAAGTATATTCAAAGTAATAACACTTTACCATACAGAGCTTTTAATGCAAATGAAATGAAAGTCTATGTGAAAGCACTTTGAAACTTAAAAGGGTTTCATTAAAATGCAAGCCATTTTTATTTTATTCTATTTCTGAGTACTATAACCTTAACCATAGGCTGGGATCTAACTGAAGTATGACATGGCAGAACTGATTTCCAGGTATCATGGAGTTGTGGAAAGAGGGATGGGAGTTAGGCAAGTTAAAACACCACGAAGCTTGTTATTGTTACCAAGATTTATCCAGTGTTCCTAAATAAACATTCCTTGGATTTAGCTAATTAATAGAGTCTTAAAAAAGTTGATTTGACAGTTTTTGCCAAAGGTCTTTTTGCTGTTACACAGAAGTGGTTTTCCTTACTATATACTATGTTGAAAGTACATCCCTTATGATAGACTTTTAGCATTAAAAATTTTACACAAATTTTAAGAAATGCACAGAAGTATTTTTAGAAATCATATTTTCTTTCCCTGGAGAGAAATAATTCTGAAAAAAACACCAGGAAAGGTACCAGTAGGTTTGAGTTATCATAGATAATGCTGCTAGTAAAGGTACACCATTGGGCATACCATTTCTGCTCAGCCAACACACTGGTTTTAATGCCTCCTTACATAGAAATAGGGCAAGTATAATCATATTCCCAGGAAAAATGAACAAACACTATGCATAAATTCATACTCCATGAACAGTTTGCATCCATATTTAAATTTAATGTTGACCTGAAAGTTTAAAGATTTATTTCAAAGTCAAGAGTAAATTTGTCTAGCAAATTTAATAATGAGACTCCTGTTGTACTTTGGTGTCAGTTTTATTCTCTTGATTATTTGAACCAAAGTGTTCCTGGTATAAAAAGCAATTTGTATAAATTTAAGAATTTGGCTAAAATTTCACAAGCCTTATATTTTTCTCAGCTCTCAGTATTTTTGTGCAGTGGTTACTTTAATCAATGTGTAGGATCCTAACTTTACAAATTATTATTTTTAATAATGAATGTATAAATATGTCAAGCATCTTAATTCTTGACATCTTAATTCTGGCTTTCCTTGTCTTTTTGTATCAATCCCTTTAGCATTTTACTCTACCTTATGTGTTATTTAATAGGTACTCCATTTTGCCTACATTATAGTCATGCTACTTAAAAGGGTTTCTTTATTCTCTTTCAATAGGAGGTACAGTTGATGAAATCTACAAGCTCTCAAGCAAATTTCATAGTGTAATTCCTGTGAAATCTGGCCACGAAGACCTGGAACTCGTCAACCTTTCAGCACCATTTCTTATACAGGGAAAAATCCATCACTATGGGTAAGTTTTCAATTCTGGGACTATTTGGAATTAAAAACTTTAAGAGTAATATTTGTTTTTACTATTTTACCCATTAGTTTCTATATATTCATGGATACGTATTGAATGATGATTTATGTGTACTCAGTTTTTCTGGTATGTATTTTGTGTTTTGATAGCACTGATAGTACCTACAGTGTGCCAGATGTAAGGCTGCTATGTAGGCTAATAACTCATTTGTTTTCTTCAACAGTTTTCAGTACTGTTTAGAAAAAGGTTCAGAGCTGCATCCTGGTAAAAATTAAGTGATTGAATTCTACAATTTTTATGCTACAAAGTTACAAATTAGTTGCCACACAGAAATTGGAAGATATCAGGATAAATTCAGAGCTAGAAGAAACAGATATGAATTTCAAGAAACTTCTAGTTTCTCTTGTACTTTTTAAACTCCAGTTTCTTTTATCCTACAGATTTTAAAAATATTAACATAATCATGTTTACCAAAATGTTTGTCAAAACTTTAAAGGTTTTAGTTGCTTTAGTTAGATTTCTGGACCTGATACTTTTTAAATAGAGTCTAAACTAATGTTTCAGTATGTTTACCAGTTATACATCTTTTAAAGATTTTCTGTTTGATCTTAAATCTATCTTATTAATGACATTTTTCAAGAAAAGTATTTATTTAATTTGTTTTTTAAATTTAAAATTGACATATAGTTGTTCATGGTACTTTCTGATGATTTTTAAATCTCTACTTTGTTCCTGAATCCACTTAATATTATTTGCACCTTTTTTTCTTGATCATTTTTCGCCAAGGCAGCTACCTTTTGTGTTTGTTGATGCCGTCTATTGTTTTATTATTATTATTTTTATTTTTCTTCCTTTACTTTCTTTAGGTTTCTTTGGTTTTTCTTTTTCAAATAACTGAATGCTTACCTCACTTAATTCATTAATTTTTAATATTTAAAGTTAAGCCTATTATTTTCCCCTTGAGAAAATAGCACACCTTTAACACGAAGTTTGATATGTAGTGTTTTTCTCGTCACTTCTAAGTATTTCATAATTCCCATTATGACTTCTTTTTTGGCCCATGAATTATTTAGCTGTGTTTTTTAAAATTTTCACACATGCATTTTAGGTGTTATGTTTTTGTTTATTATTAGATTACTTTTTAACCAAATAGTGTGATGCATTTCACAATGAATCTTTGAGTTGTTTAGATTTGCTTTATCCTAGAATATGTTCATTCAGACTTTGTAAAGCCCAGATTTTAAAAAGAATGTGTATTCTATAATTGTTTTTCTTTATTCTATAAAGATTCATTGTTTAGTGTTTAATGATGCTTACTTATGTCTGTGAGACAAGCTTGTTAACCATATTCAAAACTTTTTTCCCTTTGTCTGTTTAATCACTACTTAGAGAGTATGCTTAATGTCCTCTGTGGCAGTGTATTTGTGACCTTCTCTTCTGTCAATGTTTACTTTATATATTTTGAGTCTCTTTTGCTGGTTCATTCAAATGGTTTAGTATTTCATCTTTCTGATGAAGTAATTAATTTTTTTCTCATATTTTTATTATTGTATCAGTATTTTTTTGGTTGGTAATTGCTTGATATCTTATTCTCATTGTCTTGCCCTCGTGTCTTGTGATTATTTTAGTAAGTCTCACAAATAAATAGATGAGTGTTTTAAAAGATGAGTTTAAAATATGTTAATTACTAACATTTTAGATTTTATTTCTAAATTTTATATTGTTTCCCACAACTATTACTGTTTCTCTCTCCCCCATTTTTTTTTTATTATTTTGCTTATTTTCTTCTCCAGTCTTCTATTTTATTGATTTGTAAAGATGTCCTTCCTCTTTTACTGCTTTGGAAGTAATGAATTTTCTATTTAATTTTTACTTATTACTCTTGATTTTTAATTTATATACTTGGCTTTGTCAGTGTTTAAAGTTAGTATCACAGCTCTTTTTTTTAGGCAATAATATTTATTCATTCAATTACCTTTTTCTATTATAGAGAAATTTATATGTATTTGAAGGGAGGAGGAGGAGGATACTACTTAGTATAGTTTCCCTTTATTTTTCCCCAGTCTGCATGAACCTTTTGAATGTTGATTTTTTATGTTTTCTTCAAGTATATTTTCTTTCAACATCTTTCAACATCTAAAATTTAGGATAATCTAGTAAAAAAATAAACTCCTTGTATTTAAAATATGTTTGTATGTAAGTAAAGCAAAATACCTGTACTAAATAATGTGCAATTTTATTTTACTGTATAGTTTTAGGTTGATTTATATTACAAAGAATAACTATAGTATTAGGCGTCATAAACTATGAACCTCTAAAATTGTGCTTAGCGAATATATTACACAAAATCTTGCTTGTACCTACTTTAGTGAGAAGAATTTTCACTTAATAGCTATATTTAATTAAGACCTTGGCTATTATATATTGCTTATAGAGCCATAAAATGAAAGAGTCCTTAGAGACTATCTCTTAAAGTTTTTAATTTTATTGAATAAGGAAATTAGCCAAATTAATTAACAACGTGGACCTGGAACCTGTCTTACCTCAATTTAATGTTGTTTATTCTGAACCATACTATCTGATTGCTTCTATTGTCAAAAGTTTTTTTTTTAATTCTATTTGAAATATAGACATTACAACATAGGAGGTGCAATACTCTTTTGTTTAATAATTTACTTCTTAAAATGCATGATTGTACAGCAAAAATAAGTTATAATTAAATGTTACAATGAATTTTTTTTTATTATTTTAAATTTTTTCTTTATTAATTTCAGATGTAAACAGTGTTCTAACTTGAGACCAATACAAAGTCTAAATTCCCTGGTTGATAAAACACAATGGATTCCTTCTTCTGTGGCAGAAGGTTAGCTAAATTTCTGAGTCCCGCAATTTTAACTGTTTTTATATAAGGTGACCTAACTTATTAAATTCCAATATTTATGAATATAGTAAAACAAGAGAAAAAAGGCTGAGCTAAAGTTTAGCTTTGCTTAAACAAAATCATTCACAATGATTATAATAAAAGTATAAAGTAAATGTTTAAAATACTTTAAAACTTAAAAATAATATCTGCCAGTATCTTTTAATCATTAATGCAGTAATTTGTTTTAGTGTTAATTATTAATCATAAATACAGATTCTGAAAAATCTTTCTGGTTGGTAGTATCTTGGGATTGCAAATGACTTTAGAGATAAATATTACAACTTTTTGCCAAATGCAAATCTTTAGTTGAAACAATCTTTTTATATCACATTCTTAACTGTGGTCATCCATCCTTAGCTTAAAACTTTTTCAGTGGCAGGGGACTCATTACATTGTAAAGGAACATATCCTCTTAATTTTTAGGTAGATTTTAATAATGAAGCAAAATCTGCCCACCTAAAATTTTGTCATGGGCCATGTTTTATCTGCTAGAATTAGAGTACAACTGTTTCTTCTTCTGCAAGATCAACAGACGTTGTACATTTAAAGATATCTATCAAGCCTTCATTGAGTCTTTCTTTCTCCAAGCAGGCACCCTCACTTCTTGTGATATTTCCTACATTTCTTACTGTTTTTTTTTCTCCTTCTCAATAAACATTCTGCTTTACCAGTGCTCTTCTCAAAGTTTGACATTTAAAGCTGGAAACAGGACTGCAGGTGTTGGTCAATTCAGAATATAAAGAAAACTTTTATTTCTCTAAAATTGGACACTTGGCTTACACTAGCCTGAAAATTTCATCACATAGATATTTATTTGTATGTGTGTTTTCTTTCTTTTTTAATCTACCTGTATGAAACTGCTACCTCATATTTTGTTTGTGGTCGCATGAATTCCAGATTGCTTTCATATGAACTTCTTGCTGTCAAGATAGCTTGGTCTCCCTATACTTTTCTTAACACATTGGTTTGGTTTGTGTGGACCCTCAGAGTAACTTTTATGTTCAAAAGCTTTTTATGTAGCTTCTTGGTTTCAGCTCACTGTTTTAACCTATTGAGACCTTTCGAATCCTAAAAATCAATTCCTCTGTATTAATAATTTCTGTCATGTGTCTATGCCCTAATTTGTTTCTGTATGCCCTAATTTATTCTTATAACTTGCCCCCTTAGTTTGTCCTATTTAAGTATGGTTTGCACAATAGAAGGCAGTCTTCCATTCTGTAAACATCTTGTCTTCCATATCTGAACACGAAGTTAGGTGTTCATTTTAACCTATAAGTTTTCATCTGATTTAGTATCTTTATTTTCTTCCATTTTCCTCATCATACCAAATTATGAAATCCCTGATTCTGACATTTTGTCCATTCAACCAGGTGATAGCTCTTAAAAAATAAGTGATCCCTACATTTGTAATATAAAGGGGAGAGACATGTTACAAAGTCATAAATATTGAACCGCACGCTATTTTTAGAACATTTGATATTTTAATTTTGTCTTTCATAGGCTAAATTGCAATTAATTGCATTTCATGAATCAGTTTTTATGTTTTCTATTAAGTTATCAAGGTCATTTTAAAGGCACATTATATTAATATTTAATCCAAAAGGGTACAATTGCTCATGAGTCATTGGTCATATAAAAATAGAGTGTAATGTTCCAAAGTAAATCTGCTGAATGAACTTAATATTTTGGTATTGGAAAACAAAAGGCATATGTATAAGTTTTTCTTTATCTTAGTAAACAAAATTAACAGATACAGATGATCATAAAGCAGTTTTTACTTTACTTTGATGATAAGGAATAGAAGATTCATATGGATTGATCTTTTTTCCTTCACTAGTACTAGGTATTATGCCCCTTCAACATGTGTTTGTGATGACATTTACTCTGGATGATGGAACAGGGGTATTGGAAGCTTACCTCATGGATTCTGTAAGTAACAGAAGTAGTGAAGATATTTCTAAGAATTAATACACTCTTGGATTTTAATATATTTATTTATTCCTACTTTGTTACTGAGAAGATTTAAGGCAACTTAGACAAATTAATAAAATATGATACATATATCTTAAATTATCCATGTGTTTACCTCTCTTGATTTTACATGGTAAATCTTCATATCCAGATAACAAAAAATTAAAGAAGAGGAATTTGAGGAGAGAGTCATTCTCCCTACCATGCAGAAATTCTACTCCAGAAGCCAAAAGCTAAAGTATGCCCTCATCCTCTGTATATTATCTTAGCATTTCACCAAGCTTTTTATGCCTCCACATTTCATATTAGAGAGAATGAAATTACTTTGATAGGGAAATGGTTATATTGTATAAAGCAAGGGAGCTTTCCACAAGAGTGCCCTCATTTCTGACAACAGTTCCAAGTTTGGGAGTTCCCAAGACTACCCCTCACTTCTTGACACCAGGTGCAAGTTCAGAGATTCCCAAGACCATCTGTCATTTTGATAATCCACTAGAAAGACTCACAGAATTTACTGAAAGCTGTTACACTCACTGTTATGGTTTATTATGGCAAACTTTACAGATTAAAATCATCCAAGTGAAGAAGTACATTGGGCAGAGTCCAGAAAACTTCCAAATGTGGAGATTCTAGATGTCCTCTTCCTGTGGTGTTACTCTCCCTGCAATGATGTGTAACAGTACACGTGGAATATCGCCACCTAGGGATGCTTATAGCTGAGCCTTAGTGTCCAGAGTTTTTACTGGGGCTCTATCATATAGGCATGGTTGACTGTCCTTGCGCTTCATCTCAGTCATCAGCCCCTCTGAAGGACACATATAATACCACATGCCCCAAAGTCCCTGCCCTAAATCACATTTCAGACTACATATAGTATAACAAACAAGGATACTTCCATCAGTCATGACATTCTAAGGGCTTAGAGATTACCTCCAGAAACCAAGGACAAAGACCTGACTACTCTTAGGTTAAGGTTAAATTTGTTACTACACATATTAGGAAAGAATCTGGGATAAGGTTGAGAGAATTTTTCTCCTTTCAAAACAATTCATTTATTAAATAAACATTTTATGAGCATCTGCTATGTGCCAGGTACTATTGTATGTAATGGGCATAATACATGTATAGCAGTGAACAAAGCAAACAAAAATTCTTCCCTTCTCTTAAGAAGGTACAATCCTATAATCTAGTAGAGGAAAAAAACTTAAATAAATGTATATCATATGTTATACTCTTTCAAACTTAACACTAGGTTTTTTCCTGTACACAAAGAGAATAGTAAGCCTCACTGTTTTCTAGTCATCATTATTCTTATTATCATTATTAAATCAAAGCAATTTATCTTGATTTTATATATATTAAACTATGTGCATCTCAATACTGTTTTTAAAGTAGTAAATGAGAGTTTGAAATTCAAACTAGTGCTCTAGTTCATGAATTCTCTAATCTTGATAAAGTGACACAGTCTAGATTATTTTACTTAGGTAAGATTGAAATACTTTTGTGTTAATTATGACTTTAATAGAAGATTAATATAATTTCCTTTTCTCTTCTATATATTTTTTAAAAGGAAAAATTCTTCCAGATTCCAGCATCAGAAATACTAAGAAATGATGACCTTCAGCAAAATATGGATATGATAATGGATATGTTTTGCCCTCTAGGATTAAAAATTGGTAGGCAATAGTACTTTAGCAATCCTATTCATTCTTTTTTTTTGGAATGATACCTAGTATATATCTAATCTGTGGACTTCATGAGGTATGAAAAGTGTGAAATCTGAATCCTAATAAATTACTACGTAGTGCATGATTACTGTGTGATAGGCCTTTTGATAGAGACAGTGGCACAGATAAAATAGGTTTGAATATAATTCATGAACTGAAAAACTTTTTAAAATAATCTTAAAATATGATAAAGGGGAATCAGATTTGATTCCTGCCCAGGTCTTCAGGGCAAATTGTATTGGTTGCACCTACACTGAGTTTTCCTTTTGTGGCCATTGTTTCTGTTAATATTGAAACTTGTGAATCTAAATCATGTTAAGATAATTTTCCAAAAATTTTTCATCAGTAATAGATTTTCCAGCTGCAGATTTAGCTCTTGTCAGTTTAACTTTTATTATAACTTTTATAGGGTATTTTTAATCAGGTTTTTGTTTACCCCTGGTCAATCTTTACATTTTACAACAATTCCAGAAAAATGTTTTTTTTTTTTCTTAAACATCTGTAACAATGTTTAACTTACATACTTTTATTGGATGTCAGTTTTAACTTTTGTTAGCTGTTTGGATTCTTTTGGATAGATTTTGGGAAGTAAAACTGCCATATCAAAAAGCACTGGCTTGGTAGGCTTATGATACATACTTCCGATTGCTTTCCATGAATATTTTATCTCTTTATAGTTCTACCAGCCATGTAGGACAGTGCCTATATTGCTTGATCCTTGACAATATTGAGGACTATATTAAAGGTCTTCCAAAATTGAACTTGAAGAAACATTAAGAAACTTTCCTAGATGTTATTAAATAAGTTTGTTGTAATCATGACCAGTTTGGAAATCCCGTTCATGGCGGCTGACAGTGCCAGGACGCCGCATCTGGAACCTGGTGGGAGTTTCGGCTAGATGAGTGTAAGGGCCTGAACTAGTGTGAACTTCAGGCTTGGTTTCTTTGCATTCAACCAAGAAAAAAAAAAGGGTCAGAAAGAAATCAGCAGGAAAAAGGGACAAAAATTGGGAATGAGGTGGCTTGCTGCATTTGCTGTCAAACATTTTGAAACCTCCCACACTTACTTTTTCCCTTTGTTGAGAAAAATTCAAACTAGTCAGGATTGCTGCAGCACAGTAATATAAATACAGTATGTATTTAGAAGAGCAGATAATCTTAAATTTGGTAAGTATGTTTACTTTTCAAGCTAAACTAAATGTGATGATTTTTCTAGCTAAACATTGTACTTAAATACATATTTCAGAGTTACCTGTTTAAATGGACTTCTTTTTTTTTTTTTTAAGATGCATATCCATGGTTGGAATGCTTCATCAGGTCATACAATGTCACAAGTGGAACGGAGCAGCAAATTTGCTATCAGATTTTTGACACCACAGTTGCAGAAGATCTTATCTAATACTACCATTCAACTTAGCATATGTAAAATATTATAATTTTAGAAAACATTACTATTTTCTCTGAGAGTACTACAAAACACATAAAATATTTAGTTCTGTGGTTTATTTTCAGTTTTAACCACTATTTAAACTTTTTTGACAAACAGACATTGTATTATCTTAATGCCTTCTTGTGAGTAAGTAAAAATGTTCCTGTTGCTCAAAATATCCAGTATGATAGCCGGTAACTATAAAGGAAAAAGACATTGAATAAATAAGGACTACATTTTCATTTACTCTTGAAGTCCTTGTAAAGAAACTATTTTGTTACCCTACACTCAAAACCACTTTCCCTATTCGCTTTTTCACATGTCGGCCACTGATTTTTATGCTGTGAACCATCCCTGGTTGAGCTGCTTTTTCTGCCCTGCTATTTATAGCAGCAGTATTGATCATTTTAGCATAGGTACAGGACTAGAAAACATCCTTACATTAAAGCTGTCAATTTTTGCCAAGTCCAGGGTATGCAAGGCTTGTGGTTTGATTCTGTTTTGTTTTGTACAAAGGCGTCTGCTTAAACCAGTACTCTGTAAAGAAGTGCTTTTCTGAGTGGGCTTTGGTGTATGTAAGAGTGATTTAGTTTAAGTATAGATGGCAGAATTGCTTTCTCTGAGTGCTGCTATTTAGGATAAATTTAGGATAAATCCATTTTTTAAGACTGCCTGTTTTGCTACGTGATATTAGAAGTTACTCCATTCCATCTCAACCTAATAAAGTGCTCAGATTTATAATGTTAGTGACCTACTTTGTATTATCCTTCTTATTTATAGTCTTCTGTATAAAATATACATGTATTTCAGGTTGAGCATTGAATGAGATGTTAATTCAGTGTAATCGTCTGCTTTTTACCTGAAAATGTTTGTCAAATTTAAATCATGAATATTCAGTTTTAGAAAAATCCTATATATTTGTATGTATATGTAGATTTATGTATGTTATTTGCTAAAGACTGAGAGATACTGATCTGCCTAGCTCAGTATTAATGAAGAATAAATAAATGCACACATTTCAACTCTTTCATTCATTTGCCCCATGATGAACTGAGGCATGATTTGAGGCAAAGCATCAGCAGGAATATCAGTATAGCAGAAATTTAGGGCTGTCTACACACCAGGAACTGTGCTAAGCACTTAACATGTGTTTTAGTTTCACAACATCCCATCTTCCTGATAAGAAAACTGAGGCTTGATTGATAAGCTGACTTGACTGAGTTTACACAGTTATTAAGTGCTAGTCAGTGCTTGAATCCAGGCAGGCTCTGTCCAGAGACTGCACTGTTAAACACTCCAGAAATCTGAAGCAAAAGCCAGCATGGGGTCTTCTGCAAATGAGTCCTGCCTTAAATATCTGAGATAACGTTAGAATTAGATTATAGGAGGAGTCAGTGGTGTGTATCCTTACTATCAGAAAGCTTCTAACACATTATTGGCAAAAAGGATTGAATATCTGATTTCCTTTTCTCACAATAACTGAATTCTTCTAGTTCCTGAGTACATTAGCACATCTGCAGACCTAACTACCCCATCCACCAATCACCAAATTATCAGCTTGTTCCAGAAAGTGAGAGATGGATGCTGCTGATTGGGGGATATAAACTCTCAGTTCAGAACATTTTCAGGGAAAATTTTTTAAGAAACCTACCATTGAGCACATAGATTTCAGAATTGATAGTATATTAGGGATACAGAGGTGAGAGAGACATCCCTTCAGTAAGCACTCAGTCCACAAGGGTAGGGGTCAGAAGGTACAGCAGGCTCACAGTGTCACCCTGGGCCATCTCCAAGCTAATGAAGTAAAATTCTTCATATGAATCTTCATGACAGTGTCATTTTCTCTGTTCTTCTTATAAACCTCAACTTTGTCATCATTTGTTTTTTAACTTTTCAGTTTTGAATAAGAAGCATTCTGTGAACACCTAGTATTAATCCAGTGGTGACGTAATCATGAACCGAGTATTAGGTGAATTCCACTTCTGGAGAAATAATTAGAAGGTAGTTCAGTGTGCTCAGATTTGAGCCCTCTCCCCTTCGTTGTCCATGTGAAAACTGATAGAGTCTTCGTGTCATATTTTTAAATGATGTAAATTTAAGAAAGTCCTTTGTGTACAGCTTCTTCCTGTGTCTCCAGTCTCTGCAGCATCTGCTATGTTAGATACGCCTGCACTGTTGCCTGTAGCCCCTCACTGCATGAGAATGAGAAGGCATGTCAGAATACTGACTTCTCTGAGCCAAGTCAGTCATTCTTTAGGTAAGATAATGAAAAATGCGCTGCTTGCAGGCTTTTTCTGTGGCCACCTCAATTATACTGCTCTATTTGTGGGAACTATACATGCTGACACTCAATGCATCATTCCCCATCTCTTCTTACCCCTAGTTATGTTGCACATTGGAGTTGTTTCTAAATGAATACAGAAGGACTAGTGTTGATGGAATAGAAGGAGCAGAATATGTCTCTGTCAACCACTTCTATGCCAGAGGGACTGGCTGCCCAGTTTTTGAGTCAGCATAAATCCTGGGCCATAGCTACTTGCAGGCCACAGGAATGGGCCAGCTTTTCCCTACCCTCTTCCGAGGTGACTGTGCCATTCTGTCTCCGAAGTCAAAGCGTAAGTTGTCATTACTTATGTCACTCAATCCAGCCAGTTCTCTTCTATACTTTCTGGAAGCTTTTCTTGATATCTGGGGAAAAGGCTAGGTTCTTCTGATTATTTTCAAGGTATTTTATCAAGTTGTGCTTTTATCCAGAAATATTTTTAGTAAAAGTAACATGTGCTGATAACAATTTGAAACAGTATAAAGAAGAAAAAGTTTAACTAATCCTGCTCTAACTAGTACCCCAGAGGAAACCACTTTTTTTTTAATATCATTAATGTACAATTATCTGAACAACATTATGGTTACTAGACTCCCCGTATTATCAAGTCCCCACCACATACCCCATTACAGTCACTGTCCATCAGC